CACAAATTTTAAATTTAATTGGATGAAATTTTAAAAATTAATTTTTAAATATATTTTTAAGTAAGTTTAGAAAAAAATTTACATGTATAATCCTTTTAAAAGTTACTTAAAAATCACCTTAAAAGTCAATTTTAAAATTTTACTCTAATAAAATATCAAATTTATGAAAAAAAATTTATTTTTTAAGTATTTTAAAATTTTATCTCTAAGCCTAATCTTCATTTCTTTTTTAAAATGATAGTTTACAATCTTACCTATCATTAGAACCACTCGTTCCGCCCAATGACATTGAATCTTAAATTATGGTTGTTCATTTCTTATAAGTTGTGTGTTTGAATCCCACAAAATCTCTTTCTCCCATTTCCCCAATAAATATGTAAATAATTACAATTTATTCAAAAAAATCTTACCTATCATTCAATGGTAGCTTGAAGTGTGTGCTGTGCTATGAAGAATTAGAAGACTCAAAGCACCTACTTTCACACTGTAAAGTGGCTTTTAATCTATGGTCAAAATGTTTCAATTGGTGGAGTATTGCAAGTGCTCTGGCGGGATGTTGGTTGGGACGCCCTTGTCCAAACATGGAGAGCTATTTAAATGTGCAGGTACAAAAAGCAGGTGGGAGCCAATATGGTTTTCAGTAACCTGGTCCTCATGGCTGGCCAGGAATTAGGCAATGTTTAAGAAACAGGAAAGTAGATGAAGACAGGCTTTTGGACTTGGTTCAGGCCCGTTCACACCAGCAACATAGAGGTGCAGGGCAAGTTAAGTGGATTCTCATTTTCAGATTGGTTACAAGAAACCAGCACTTACCATGATGTGCTAGCAACCACACCAACCAGGAAGGAGAGAAAATTTAATTTTGCACTTGATTTCTTAAAATGCTTAAAACAAGGGGAACAGTGTGACGGTGAGGGAATGATGTAATGGATGGGTAATACAAGTTAGACATATACGTATTGATGACGGGCTATTTCTTATACTTCTTTTAATAAAATTATTGTTTAAAAAAATGATTATTTTTTATCAGAATTTATGTGTAAATTTATATGTATCCACTAATTTTAGACAAATCATTATTGAAATTTAGTATCTACAATCTACCAGGTGTAGGTAAATCGTTAACTTTTTTTTTTTTTTAATGAGCTTATAAATATGGATTTCGCTATAATATGTAAAGTTCACTTTAGCAAATCAAGAAATAAGAAAAGAGAGAATGTTTAAAAATTATGTGGTATAGTAGTAGAATTATTTTTGTTAACAAAAAATTTTGTATTTTTAATTATAGTTTTAGGGTTCAATTTTTACTATATGTATATAAGAAAATATATTTTTTAGTACAATTAGTACAATTATTTTATATAATTAATTTTAAGAGCTCGTAAATTTTGACTCAAAATATATGTGGCCAATGACAAATTTGACCCAAATTATTTTAACAATTGGGGTGGTAATCAAATTTTCCTTTTATAAAACACAAGGACAACAATTGTAAAAAAAAAATTCACATACAAAATTCTTGTTATAAGTAATTTTCGATGAAAAAAAAGGTTTTCATTTACTATTTATTAATATTTACTATATAAAGTAATTGTCAAAAATTGCAATAAAAAACTGTTAATAAAGTAAGACAACTAATCGTGAAGAGAGGGAGTAAAAATCTCTTAAGAATAATATTACACAAGTTATTTCCTTTATAATGTTTTTGAAAGGTAAAAATGAAAAAGAACATTTTAGACTCTTACGAGGATACCTAGCTGGTAGATCTTTTTTATTTGGTAGTAGAATTTTGAGACAAAGAAAAATCTAATTTAAATCACATACTTATATAAGGAGCTCTATGTGCTCAGATAAAAATGATACAGGCTATCCTGAATAAGAAATTACATTTTTGTGGTCTAGAATGCATAGCATCATGAGCAATCAGCCTTGGATATTGCAGCAGATTGACTGCTCATGATGTTATATCATTCTACCTCTTATCTGGGAGCTTATAACGAAGACCAAATTAAGACCTAGTCCCATGGCCACCGAGAAAACTACTCGAGCTAATTCGTGCATCGACGCAACTAAATTATCTTAAAACCCTCCTCCAAATGCCGGAGCCCAATAATCCGCACCATTTTCACTTCCAACCTGTTGAGTGCAAGATACTGGAACCAAACACAGCCCCCTACTCCTCAAGTCCTTTGGCTTATCTTGTGCATCCTGTTGCTTTTATCAAGAAAAAGTTACATGTCAAAAGAGTTGAGATTTGCTTACATATCTGTAAGTTTTATATAAATTGTTAATTTAGTGGATGAATATTAAAATTTAGATCTATATATAATTGAAGAGAAAAGAATATTGGATGATCATGATGATCATTATTATGACGATTAATATATAAATGAGCAATTAAGTCAAATGAGTGATGCAAGTGAGAATTTTAAAACCAAGAAAAAGAAAAAGGAGGGAAGGGGAAAAGCATTTCTACGACCACCTTTCAACTCTTTTTTAGTTTTTCAATTCAGGACTAATCTTTTGCACCTCTAAATTATGCTTTTTAATTAACTTTTGTTGATGTAAAAGTATGTATAAAAGCTGGGAACCTTGTTTTTTCAATATTATTGCTCTTCTTTATGAATAAAATAGTTTTATCCTTCCCCTTCCCTTGCTTTTTTGTGAGGTGATGGATCCAATAAAAGCTTACCTGTCCTCCCTCTTCAGAAAATGCACAATTCTTTCCTCCTTGAACCTGAAAAAATAAAAAGAATTGTTTAAAAAAATTATTACTAAATTATGGGCATGCTTGGAGAGAGAGAGAGAGAGAGAGAGAGAGAGAGAGAGAGAGAGAGAGAGAGAGAGAGAGAGAAAATAAGAGGATGCAAATATATGGGCACTTACAGAATGCTGGTTTCTGATGTTTGTTGATGCAGTGCCCAAGTATGGAGAACTAAGAGCCTGCAATATTTGTTTTAAAATTATTACTTCCATAACTAATTAAAGAACGATGGGTTGATGTAACTTTAAGGACATATATATGCTTTGATTCTGAACAACAATTATATGAATAAAAATTAAAATTTTGAAGCAGAAACAGAACATAATCACCTCAATTTGACCCTGAAGGAATCTAATATACCCTATAGCTTCTAACAAGACAGAAGCAGTGTCAGTCTGCAAAAGAGACCAAAACACAAAACCCATGTCATGCTCTTTCAACATCTTAAAAAAGAAAAGGAATCAGATGATAAAAGATAAAGTAGAAAACATGTGTGTATCAGACTCAGTGTTGAAAACATACTTTTTTGAAAAATGAAAATAAATATAATGGAAAATTATTTTCGGTCTAAACAAGCTAATTTTAAATGCCTGTATGAGTATGAAAAGACAAAAACACCTTAAGCGCGTTAATTATTAAGAATGTTTTTCAGTTTTGCTGGCTAGTTTGGCATAAAATTAGTCAGTCCATAAAGAAATTTCGGAACTCAAGAACAGAAAGAGCAATCTTTATGTTATGGGGTTTTTATTTACCTTTCCAAATGGGGAAACTAACTGGTGAAGGGCCGTAATTCTATCTCCTAGCTTCTCCTTTCTCACCTGATTTTACATAAACAATAAACCCAAAAAAGAAAAAAATCAGGACGAGTATAAAGGGGTGTGGTTATGGCTAAGTGTAAAGGATGTTTAATTTTTTTAAATTATTATTATTATTAGAAACACCAAAGTTTCTGCAGAATAAAACATGTTAGAAAATGGACAACCAAAAAAGACACAAATATTCTCCACAAAGACAAACACACAGAATAAGAGAACAGAGAGATAATAATTGCCTTTAGAGGCGGTTGGCTTGAAGACGGCTGAACCCTAGCCTTCTTGGATACCGCACCTGTGGCTGTGCTGTTACACTATATAATTCAAAAAAATTTTAAAAGAGGGAACAAGATGAGAAACCCAGGAAAGATGGAAAAAAAAAAAAAAAGAAATTCCAATTTTTGGAGTTTATTTTGAATTCTTTATTACCTCTGATGCTGAATGATCTAATGCAGGGTGATTATTGTTTCCATGATCTGGCTTGTTGGTATAAGAGAAGTCTAATATGTTATTACTGCTTAAACTAGTAACACAGGACCTAGGAGAAGAAACCGGCATGATTTGTGGCCAAGATGCTCCTCTAGTTGTCTGGAATTCTTCATCTCCATGACCATACAGATGGTTGCTATTTTGGGAAACCTCTTGCTTTACATCAACAGGAACCCTGAGAGATGGATTCAGGACTTGGTCGTCCCAATTTTCCAACTTTTTGGGCTGAAATTGGCCCATACTGAACCTATCTTCTTCCCCGCCGGATAATCCACCCCTACATATTGAATTCCAGCAACCATTGCATTAGAAATACTGAAAAAAAAGTGTTTGGATAACCAGAATGACCCATACAAAAAATAGTGTCCTATAAAAGAAAAAAAAAACACCTTAATTCTGAGGCGAAACTTTACAATAACTAAGCACTAACTTCTTTTTGCCGATCAAAAATTAAGGTGTGTACTATATACATATTCACATAATCAAGGATAGATGAGAGAGATAAGGTGTGGAGAGAAAAGTAGAGAGAGAAGTTTAAATTTCTAGAAAAGAAAAATACCCATGAAAGTTTGATTTGCATAATTAAATTTCCAACCTTCAATCTTGAAAAAAAAAAGAAGATAAATCAAGTTTTGAGAAGATTGGAGATAAAAGCGTTGAAAAATGGTGATATAGAGATCAAAGTAACCCTAGTCCTGGAAAAAGCAACTAATTAAGCAAGATAGAATTAAGAAGCATGTACAGCATGGAAGACATGAGAGAAAGAGAAAGAGAGCTCACAGGAGTAGTTGGCTCCATGACTGTGGAAGCTCTTGGTTGTGATTATCAGCCAAAGAAGAATTCTGGAGATGTGTTGAAGATCCACCTACATACTGAGGTGGGAAGAAAGATGGGGAAGGAGATAACAAAGTTGAAGGCTGTTCTGAAGGTGGATGGATACTCCACCAGCTAGGGTTTCCAGCCATCATTTGTTGCACTGAACAATTCAGTTTCTGCAACCAACACTTCAATTAATTCATGTACCTTCCAAAGAAAACCAGAAAAAATCTGTCCTTCCCTTTCTCTTTCACTTTCTCTCTTCACTTTGTCAAGTTTCCTTGTTTATGCTGTCAAACAAGCCTTTGCCTAAAGCTTCATGAGTCCCTGTTTGCTTTCTGAGAAGAGGCTGAAGAAACTTGAGTCCATTTCTTGAAAGAATTTTTATAGAAGTGGGGTTGGGGTGCCTTTGTATATGTTTTCTTCTCTTTCCATCTTCTTTCATTTATTTAGTATTCTTTTTTATTCCCTGCTTTTGCTTTATTATAAAGTGGGGGCATAAAAGCTGGGGTGGGCAGTCCATAAACTATTGGATTGAAGGAGTCTTATTTACATCCTTGATTTGGG